GCCCTGCTCAGTGGCATGCTTTTTTTCTGCAGAAAGTATCCTCTTGTGTGGCATGTCCACTGGGAGTCTGAAGTCATATATTTCCAGCTCAGAAGTTCTGGGAAGAAAAGACAATTTGTCCATTTTTCTTTGACAGAAAAGCTTGGGGAGGATTCTGATAGGTGGAGCCAAGGTCAGATGCCTACACCTGAGCCAATCATCCCTGGGCCAAGGGGGAGGCAGAATGCCACTGTTTGCAGTTTTCCACAAGAAAGGCCTGGTGCTTTTGCAAGAGGAAAAGGGACAGGACACTGAACAATGAGAGCTATGCCTCCGACTATAAACTCCACCATTCTTACTCCCTGCCGGGTCATTACCATGCAGTGAGTTGACCTAGGAGTTCATTTTCCTCCTCACTAACCTTAATTATCTATGTTAGGGGTGTCGAACTCAATCAGAGAAGGGGCCAAAATCTAAAATCCAGCCTAAATCGCGGGCCGAATGGTTTACTGAACAGTCATAAACTGTCATTGTGATGGAAACGCAGCGGAGTGCAGTGATGACAGCGCGGTGCGGGCCACATTGCAAGGCCTGGCGGGACGGATTTGGCCCGCGGGCCTTGTGTTTGACACATGTGATCTATGTCATGAAGGAGCGCACAAATAAAATAATAAGGGAAATATATGACTATGGGAAATCACCTAGACTGATATTTACAAAGATGTGAATATTTATTCTTAAAATGACCCCCAAATTCACTCAAATGTTCAAAGTGGATGCTGGAAACACAAGTGTTTTGACAAGAGCAATCTTTCTCCAAGAAAAATGATGACACAAAGAGATGTTTTATAAAACTGAATTAAAGGCACTCACTATTTCAATGATGCTTAAAGGAAAGATGTCCAAAGACACCCTGACTGAGTATGTAGAATACACGTGAAGGTCTCTTCAAATATAGTATGTGCCTATCTCTCTTCCTTCCCTCTCTGCTTTTTTTTTTTTTAATGCCCCTTTAAAAATTGCCCACTCACCATCTGTTAGGTAAATTTCCTGAAACAGTAAATGTGGAGGCAGAGATTGTTATAGAAACTATGCCAAATGGCATTGACATCTATATTTGAGATTTTAAAAAGAGTAAGTTAGAGTTGTTTAAAAAAACAACAACACAATAATAATATCACACCATACCAGGTACCCAATTCTATCCAATTACATAAGATAGATAGATAGATAGATAGACAGACAGACAGATGGATGATAGGTAGGTAAGAAGAAAAAAGGGAGAAAGAACACTAGGCACTTATATATAAAATGTTACCCTAAAAGTCTGAGATAATATTCAAGCTTCAGTGGACAAAAAGAAAACATTTACAAATAGACAAATGTGTTTCACTTGTGATAGACAGGCCACAGGCTTAGATTGGCAATATCCTCTTAACAAGGGTCAAGTGGACACTTTTCCCATTGAGCTGCTGTTGAGGGAACAGAACTGAAACAGACGCCATTCAATTCCAAGTCTACAGCTCAGACTATGACACTGCACGTGAAATATGGCTCATTCAGACCCAGGATGTAGTCAGAGTAATTTATACTCTCAGAGTATTTGCTCTCAAGTCGATACCAGAGAAGCCTTGAATAAACACATTCCCATTACTTTCCGCTATCATGTATCTTCCTTATAGCCCATGAAACAGTGGTCCGGGGATCCAGCCTCTGGGCACTGTGTTACATAAGCTCTCTATGTTTAGCCATCCCCACCCGGTAATTATTTTCAAAACGTGTTACTGATCGTCAATATTCATTTGCATTTAATCTTTCTCAGCATCAGAGAGTATTACTGTGGCCAGGCTCAGGAACAAATCTCCAGAAATTCCTCTCGGATGCTTCTTTGAGGCTGGAAATGCATTGCAGGGTGGTAACAGTGACTTAATTATAGTTGGCAGAGCCCTGGCCACACACTAATTTCATTAGCCTCAAATTCTTGGGTTTGTAAGACCCACTGGATATGAATCCTGCCCTCAGCCATGCCACTCGCTAGCCAATTCCTATAGAGGAGAGGGAGAGACTGGCTCAGCTTACCTCTGTGGGACACCAGCAGGCAAGTGAGACTGTGAAGCCTCACACGCTATGGGCATCTGAGCAGTCCTTCTCGCCCAGGCCCTAACTGACAGAGAGGAACTTCGTTCCAGGCTGTGCTGGCAGCAGCAGCATTGGTGACATCTATTACTATCTCATTACTCCCTCCTGCGCCCCAGCGCTTAGCAACCCCCGTTTGAGTCACTAGGTATTCCTTCCCTAAGCCTAGAAGCTTCTCTCAGCATACATTTCTGTCTTAAAGGATAGGTTTGGCATAGGTCCCCACAGCAACCAACCCCCAGGGCCTGGGGAAAAGAGAACTGGAATTCAATCATTTAGAGGAGCTTCGTGTTTATAGGACCATCTTAATTGAGCTGAACCCAGCAATCCCAGGGAAGATTCAGCTCCCTTTCCTTTCCTATGTGCCTTTGAACAATGGGTCGGTCTGGATACCACTATTCTCTCTATTCAGCTTGCGAGTTTACACAGTCTGGAATCTGAGGGTTGGATTGCATGCCAGGAGTCTCTAAGATCACATGCAAAAAAAAAGCTGCTATATATTCCAACACGGGCAGTGTTTAACCAGGATGCCCACACCTGCAGCGACAGCCAGCTTGAAGCACAAGCTACAAGTTGATGCATTCCTCCTCCTACCAGCCTCTTCTCAATAGAGGCAGGTGAAAACCGGGGGCTCTTTCCCCCCCAGCTGCTCACTCCAACATGAATAGCTGCAATTTGCAAATTAGGGGGGAATGACAGTGTTTTCTCTGAATGGCTTTGCTCCCAACCCACGCTGCTATCACTGGCATTCGGCTCCTCTACTTCCAGCCCAGGGAATGGAGGGACTGCGTGTAAGGCAAGCTGCTTCTTTCCTCACAAGTGCCTCAGGTCCGCACACCAGAAGAGGAGCCAGCTCCCCCTGGAACCTGGCTCAGCAAAAGTCCTCCACCGAGTCTGCAGCCTCCCTCTGGACTTGAAATTTCCCTCTTTTCCTCTGGCAGGCCCATCTGCAGGACCTCCCAGAGTGAAGACAGAAACAGGCAGCAAAACAGTTTCAATATGCTAACCACCAAACACTCCTTCCACCCCCAGGGTTCTGAAAACAAACAAACAAACAAACAAACAAACAAAAAACACTGGGAATTGCAGGGGGATTCCCAGGTGATCTCTGACGCATCCTCTCGCAGGCAGGGTACTGCCCCCTCAAGTAGTCTAGCCTTAACTCCGGGATGAAGGCAGCTCTGGGGTTTTGCTTTGAACAACTCCAGCTCTTCCTAAAAGCCTCAGCTCAGAGCGAAGGCTGCCCCCAAGGCACATGATCTTCAGGCTCCTTACTTCGGAGGCCCGGACTTCGGAGAGGCCAAATCAGGCTGCAGCCCGGAAGGCACCCCTCCTGGCACAAACACAAACTTCACACTCCTGAGAGGGAGCTGATGTGGTGACAGCTTGAATCTCACACGAAATCCCCTCCAGAAACCCAACAACATCTTTAGGAAAAGCCCAGGAGAGGGAGCCAATTCTTTAACTGGGGCCACAGGGCACTAGAGTCGGCCCAACATCTGGGCGGGACTCCCCCGGTCTGGGCACTGCCAGGCAGGAGAGAGCTCGCTGTGCACCAGGCAAGGCTCCCCTCAAGACAGAGACGGACCCAAAACTAGGAGGTGGGGGCGAAGGGAGAGGAGAGGCAGGCATTGGAAGGAAGGGTAAAAAATAGAGGGGGGAAAATGAGGGAGAAAGGAGGGAAAGAGACACAGGGAGAAACATGGAGAGACAGGGAGAAGGCAACCCACAGTCTCACAGACCCTCAGTTTCTTCACCCCAAAGCCATCTGTGAATACCCCACGGCAGCAGCGGCAGAGCAGAGGCTGCAGAAGCGCTGGCCAGGGAGCTGCGGTGGAACTCATCGCCTAGGGGACCCCTCCGTCTTCCTCCCCTTTCGTGGGTGCCCTCTGGCGCCAGCAGCCTGCGGACCATGGGCCCGGTTCAGTGCGCCCCATTCACTGCCTGGCTCCCTGAGCCTTCTTGCCCGGCTCCCTGAGCCTTCTCGCCCGGCTCCAGGAATCGTCCTGGGAGCAGAGAACTGGGGCTGGGGGGCTCTAGGTAGCGTGGGGGAGAGGGCTGCCTTAGGGAGGTCTCAGGAAAGGGCGGGAGGAGGGATGAGGCAAGGAAAGCGATTTTGTTTCTCTGTTAGCATGAGCTCATCTCTGGCTCTGAAGTGGCAGGAGTAGAAAGCCCATCGCCCAGCTCCTGCCCATGGCCCGGCTGCCAGTGCCATTTAGATGGTGCCAACATTGGCACCCAGCAAACCACCAGGGGCTCACGTCTGAGTCTGAGGGGAGCCTCTCCCCACTTGGGGAGCTTCACTCTGGGAGACGGGCTACAGGTCAGGGAAGCCAGCCCAAGGGGTGGGCACTCAGCACCCACAGGGCAAGGACCCAGCCCTGGGTGTGAGCCTCGCCTCCCCAGCGCTTCTCCAGTCCTCCCGGGGCCGCTGCGGCTCCCGGCTGGGGGCCGGAGGCCGGAGGCCGGGGAGGTAAAAGATGCCCGGGTTCCAGGCATCTGTCTTCTCCTCTTTCACACTCCCTGCGCCTACCCTCACTTTACCAGCCTGTTTGGGGCCGTTTTTCACTCTAATGCAAACCCATTTAAATCATTGCCTTGTTTTTCGCAGATTGCTTCTTGTAAATGGGGCCGTAAATCCAGGGTGCCGAGTTGGATGGATGGAGCGGAGCGCGGACAGGGGAGAGGTGCGGGGAAAGGAACCCAGCAGGGAAGAAGGCACTTCCTCGGGTGGGGTGGGGGGCGAGGGGTTCCGCAGGACCTCCTGGGTGGAGATGCGCGGAGGCTGACCTGACCCTGCACCCTAAAGTCCAGCTTGTTTTTTTAAAAGGATAAACAGCGCGGGGAGGCTCGGCGCGCTTGTCCCGCAGGGAGCGCCCCCCTACCTGGAACAGCCTCAGGATGTTGGCTACCATGATGGAGACGGAGCTCCCCGACGCCCCGATCACGCCCACCACTTTCTCAGGCCTGACGAACACGGGGGGCTCGCCGTTGGTGCAGCGCACGTCGGAGGTGTCCTTCTGGATGAGCGCCTGCACGAACGTGAGCGACTGCTCCAGCGCGTACGTGTCCCGGGAGCAGGTGTCCAGGATCCGCGCGCCCAGGGTCACGTTGGGCAGCAGGTTGGGATCGCTGTTGATCTGGTCCAGGGCGTAGAGCATCGCCTCCAGCCTGTGGATCCCGTTCTCCCTCTTGATGTCGCCGCAGGGCACCCCGCTGGGGCCCTTGGCGTGCACCGGGAACAGCCCCCCGAGGGTGACGTCCCCCTCGATCCGGATCGAGTGCGGGGCGTACATCTCCTGGCCGCGCGCCGCCGCCGCCAGCGCGCACAGGAGCACCTCCAGCACGCAGCAGGGGAACTTCATCAAAGTCAGGGCGCGGAGCAGCTGCCGGAGCTGGACCATGCTGCTCCCGCTGCTCCGGCGCCCCGGCTGCCCGGGCGACTCCTGCTGCCCCGGCGGCCCCGGCGGCTCCGGCTGCTCCGGCGGCTCCGGCTCCGGCGGCGGCGGCGGCGGCGCTGGAGGGTGCGGTGGGTGGCGGGCTCGCCGGGGTCCAGGCTCCTCCGTGGGATGAGTTCCTCGGGGAAAGCCCGGAGGAGGCTCCTGCTGTCACCGAGGGTGGGGGCAGCCGGGGAGGGGCGGCAGGAGGAGAGTGTGGGGGGTCCCGCGGCGCCTGCCAGCTCCGGGCGCCGTGCGCTCTCGGGCTCGCCGGCCGGCGCTCCGCACGGGCGCTCTCTGCTAGCCGCCGGAGCTCTTCCACAGCCCAGCACTGGGGAGAGGGCACGGATTGCTATCGCTTTAAATGGTCCTTCGGCTCCCTCTCCTCCTCCTCCTCCTCCTCCCACTCCCTCCCTCCCTCCCTCGCTAGCTCCGGGTCTATCCCCACCCTTCCCAGCGCCCGCCCTCCCCACTGGTTTGCATCATCACGCAGGGAGGGACTGCGTGCTGGGGAAGGGGGGGGGGGGAAGACTGGGTGGGCGGCTGGCGTGTGGGGGTACGGGAGAGGGAGTGCCTGCGATAGGGAGTTTCTAGGTCCCCAGGGAATTTAGGGATTCTGGCCCCCCATCTCTCTGTAGAAGCCTCCCGATCCTCGCCTGCACCCACAGGCGCCGGAGGCATCAGCCCCAGGATGAACGGTGCTGACAGCTCCCAGCCCTGAGTCCGAGCTGCTGTCAGCTCCTGGAGAATGGGAGTCTCTCGCAAGTGAAGGAGGGAAGGGCCAGGGAAAGACCATCTCCACTGCTGATTTCTCCGTGTCAGTTTTTCTCAAGAAAAACATACATACTCACAGGAGCCTGATTCATGACTTACAGAACCTTTACCCACACACTTCTCCGCAGCGCTCGCTGCAGGGAAAGATGCCAACAAGAAACGTTAGCAATGGGAGAAGTACATGCTTGGTCTTCAGGGTTCACTGCGGCCAGCGCAGGACGAACCCACCGAAATAGCCTCTAGATCTGTGGTGGGAACCTCAGACTCCCCCTTTTTCTACTTCCCTGGCAAGAGATGGGAGGACTGAGAACTCTGCGGAGCCCACTGCCTTCCAGGTGCTGACAGGTGGAAGGCTCCCTCCTACCCATTTCCAGAGATGCCTCAGGCTGGTGACAGGTTCTGGAGGGCGGGAAAGGCAGAAACGCGGGCAGGTAGGAGGAAGAAAGCCCAGCAGACAGAAGTCTCCTCAGCGATTCCAGATGCCTTGCTCTCCAAACCAGGATGCCAGAGCAGGCTGCAGGGCAATTAAGAGGCTCTTTTTCAAAGGTGTCCCTGCAGGCCCAGCGCAAACTTGGCTGTGAAAGCAACAAGTGGCCCAGTTCCTATATTAGGAAAGGTGATGTCTCTGTCCTTGGGGACCAGAGTGCACTGAGGCAGGTTAATCCAGCTCTTACCCAGGCTTTCTGCTGGAGTGCAGCAGAGCCATATGCACAGATTCCAGGGTGAGAGCAAACTAGAACCAAGGCTACACCTTGTTTTGTTGTTGTTAATCCTCACCGAAGGAGAATATTTTCCCATTGATTTTTTTTTCTTCTTTTAGAGAGAGTTTAAGGGAGAGACGAGAGAGAGAGAGAGAGAGAGAGAGAGAGAGAGAGAGAGAGAGAGAGAGAGAGAGAAATATCATCGATGTGAGAGAGACACATTGATTGGTTGTCTCCTGCACATGTCCTGATCAGGCTGGGGAGAGAGCCTGCAACTGAGGTACGTGCCCTTGACTGGAATCGAACCCAGGACCCTTCAGTTCTTGGGCTGATGCTCTATCCACTGAGCCAAACCAGCTAGGACAAGACTATACTTTTTGTTGTTCTTGCTAATGTACTAAAGAAAGATGACCTTGTACAACAACCCCCCTCCCACTCCCCCCGAAAAAAAGCCAGTAGACAGGTGATTGGTTGACTCTGCCACTGACTACATGGGTCCCCTCGGCATTTCTGATCCTCCGAATGGGTTTTAGTCTCCCCGTCTGTAAAATGATGAAATTGAATTGGATGCCCTCCAGGTTATATTCTAACTCCCAAATCCTCTGTTAAAATAGGCCATGTGCTTTTGGCCATGGTGCTCTTTTTAAGCCAATACATTCCATTGCTTTATATGTAGGAAACCAACGTTGCGATATCCAAAAAAAATTACAAACTTTTCCTGGTATAGAGGACTTTTATTTTTCTTGCCCACCATCTATTCCTCTTTTTTTTCTAAGGACACTTGAGACCGTCATTTTCTTTTTGGATATGCATTTTCTCCATGTCTCAATATTTAAGGCTTGAGAAAAAATAGACGCCAATTCCCATAATCCAGGCTTGGCTAATCAAAGCATGGGATCCTTTGAACTATAGTGATGATGAGATTAAGGATGAGTATGGGACTCAACAAAAACCTTCGGGACTTTGCCGAAGTAACCCCAATAGTAACACAGAGTTACCACTAACCAATAGACAATCTGTGCATGAGTTAGGGGGGAAAAAGCATTCCCCCCAATCCAAGCCTCAAAACATTTTATATCTTGGAAAGTGTAGTATTCTGATTTTATAAGAACAACATTGACTGCCATCTTCAAGAAAAGAGTGCTGTAATTAATATGTTAACCTACCCATGTGTGCAGTGTGGTTATCCATCACTTTTAGGTGTGATGCTCTGCTAAGAAGTGCACACTTTGTACACCCCTGTGCTGTGATGGCCCAGCCCCTTCCTGCTGGGCCTGGAGCTCTGTGAGAGGGCAAGAAGCCTGTAGCTGTGCCAGGAGCTTCCACATAAGTGGGGGTATTTTAACCTCATACTACAAGATACAAGAGAGGGAAAAGAAAGAGGGGAGGAGGGACAGGGGCAGAGATAAATAGGGGCCTGATGAAAAGATTTGAAATCCTGGATTCAGCCTCGCCTGAAAGACTGCTTCTACAATAGATTATTTCCATTTATACACTATTTCTTTTCCCTTGCTCAAAACCAAAAAGATCCTCTTTTAATTCATCTGTTCCAGTACACCAGATCAAAAAATGGTGGAGCAGCTGAAACAGCCACTGTTTCTGGTAGCATCAGCTAATTTGGAAAGATAAAAAGAAGCAAATAGAGTAATAGAAAGGCATTCTTGGAAACACAAGTACTATGATCCTATTATTTAGGCGTCAGTACTTCAGGCTGTATTTGTCAGAGACTAGATCATTATTAAGTTTTAAATTTAAGGTTATTTATTATGATTTGGTGATAAAAAAAAATATTTGGAGAGCTGGTTGCAAGTAATGACACTTGATTTTTTTTTTTTTTTAACCTGCTCATGTCTGGACCCATGTTCTACTCATCTGTTTTCTTTTTCTTTCTTTCTTTCTTTTTTTTTTTAAAAATAGATTTTATTGATTTTTAACAGAGAGAAAGGGAGAGAGATAGAGAGCTAGAAACGTCGATGAGAGAGAAACATCGACCAGCTGCTTCTTGCACACCTCCTACCAGGGATGTGCCCACAACCAAGGTACATGCCCTTGACCGGAATCGAACCCGGGACCTTTCAGTGCGCAGACCGCACTGAGCCAAACCGGCTTCGACTCATCTGTTTTCTTTTTTTTTTTTTAATATATATTTATTGATTTCAGAGAAATCAATAAATATATATTTTTAAAAAAAGAGAGATAGAAACATTGATGATGTGAGTGAATCACTGAATAGCTGCCTCTTGCATGCTCTGCACTGGGGATCAAGTCAGCAACATGGGCATGTGCCCTGATGACTGGGAATCGAACTGTGACCTGCTCATAGGTCTATGCTCAGGAATTCCAGCAGGGCTACACCTCCATTTTCATTTCATTTCTTGTGATTGCTAATTAAATATATCTTGGCTGACTATTAAATGTTGCCTATTCTGTGTTCTCTCTTAGCCCTGCTCTTTTCCCCAAACATCTGGCAGAGTCATTATCTTCTTCTCGTTGCAGTCACCTGTGCGCATGTCTTGCTTCCCCTGCCAGGTTGTAAGAGTCTTGAGGGTAAGGACTGGGTATTCTTTGCATTTTCTCCTGGATGGTAATGTTTAGAGTGGTGTTTTGTACCTAAGAAGCACTTGTATGTTCCATGAATCAGAACCGGTTTTGCCATTCCCCACTGTCTTTACTCGACAGTAACTGAAGTACAAAGTGGCAGAGCAGAAATGATGGCAGATAAATTGCTGTCCTCTTAGTCACAGTATGCAGTTTCTAGAATGTAAAGGATGATTAGTGGGCTTGCTAGTAATTTCCCTTTACATAATTTTGCATAAGATTTGAACACTCTAACCTTAAAGCTCTCAATCAACTTTAATTGGGAGGCTCTAATCAGTTCTTCGTGACTCCAGTGCCCATTCCTGGACCAATACCTGGGGCCACTGCCATTGCCTGGCTGAGGAAGGACAGAAGCCAGGCACTAGCACCACCTGAACCAAATGGAAAGAGTGATCTGTTATCAGATAAATGGAAAAATGATGCATAGGATCTGGAACTCAATAGGTGACATAGTGTTTTTATTTTTTTATATTATATGAATGGAAAATCTTTGTGTAAGAATGGCTAATCCAAAACTGGGCCCGTCATTGTTCTAGTGTTATATTTAATTGGAGGAGAATCTAGTTTTAGACACAAAGATGATACATTATAAAATGTGTTCACGGGTTTGGTTCTGTGTAGCCAGTAATCTGTCTTTATTAATGAAATGGGTAGCTAAAGTTAAGGGCTCAGCCTAACTTATATTATAACAGCCCAGCCTGGAAACACTCAAACTCTTATAAGAGCTTTAGGAGAGAACTGAGCTGAGCCTACCCATACTTCTGTGCCTGAACCAAAATCTAATATTGTCACTGGTAATAAAACGTAAAAAGAGCTAGGCAACCTTGATGGCTCTGAATGGTCAGAGCTATTAACTCGTTGTCTAGTTGAGATAGTGGTGGTTGAGGCAACTTTAATTTGTTAATCGTATGTAAATGTAAGTTGATTTTCTATTGTGGGAATTTCCTGCCTAAGAGATGTCTTTGTCTCAGAATCTCAGTAAAAGGAATGGTAAAAGGCCAGAGCAGCGGGGGTTTGTCTTCCCACTAGAGGTGGACTTCCCTCCTGACCCCCATTTTCCCAAATTAACTCTTTTCCAGTCTCTCTCTTCATTTTAGTGTGTGGCCTTCTCCAGAAACCAGACCCTGAGTGGGCCCTGAACCATGTGAGTCCTGTTAAGTGATCCCACACTTTTGAGTATAGATCTGTGAGATAAATCAGTATTGTTGTAAGCCACTAACTTAGTGGTAGTTTGTGACACAGCAATAGAAAATTATTGTAGATAGGTTAGCTAGTATAGATATATTCAAGAATTCAAGAGAAAAAAGCACAATGAGAAGTAGAATACATAAAAATAA